GCGCTGCAGCTCGGGCCCCTGTACCACCCTCCACGCCTTTCCGCTTCTCATCTTGACAGCTCCATTTGGAAACTCGTTTGCATTTCTCGAAGCAAACAACGTCCCTTGCTTTCTCCGCATGGCTTTTTCAGGATGAGACGATGGATTCAGGGAGCCATTTAAAGCAAATAAGCCCACCGCTGTCTTCCGCGCGCTGATAAAGCGATCGAAGCTGCAGGCAGCCGTCTCCGCAGGTAAATCGGCGGTGAGGTACCATGAGTTTGTCAGCGAGGGGACCGGAGCCAGGGTTTCCAGTCTGGTCCATCCCCAGAACAAGCCCCAGCTGACAGCTGTTTGGCCGGAAAGCGGAGGGGAGATAACATACCCCGGGGTGCGTATTGGCAAGAGAGGAGACGGAAAGGACCGAGGGGAGAAGGTTAAGGGAGTTGCAAAGAAATGCCCTGGGCAGTAGTTCTCTGGCAGAGCTGGGGCTGAGCCCTCCTCATCCTCAGGGCCCCTGCCCCATCTCCCAGCTAGTGCACAATTCGAGCGGTTTGGCTGAAATACAGATTCCCTTTCCTCCCTCGCTCCTGTCAGCACAGATGCCCCCGGGGGCTTTCCCCAACCTGGCCTTGTGTAGGGCAGGAGGATGAATTGGAGCCAGATGAAAAGTTACCCCAGCCGGTCCCCGCCACGAGTGACTTGGAGTCGCCCGGAGGGATTCGGAGACCGTTGTGCCAGTGGGTGAAGGATGGCTTTCAAACGGTTCCTCCTCAGCCTGGCACGGTAATTGCTTTGTTGTAATAATATTTATTACAGTCATAATTATGGATCTACCCTAGCATGGAGGGAGTGTCATAACCGCCCTGATACCAGAATTTATCTTCGTGAGGTCGTGGTGACCTCATCACTCCGGGGCGGCACGGTACAGAGCTCCATCAGCTCAAGTGCTGATAAATCCCCCATAGCTCAGACCTCTTGATTTGCACAGGACGTGGCCCGCAAGGCTAGCCTGGGGCCTTAAACGCTGCCCCGTGGAGCTTGCTGCCTTCGCCGCCCTCCCTGCTTCTTTCACCGTCGACCTGTCCACGGCTGCTGAGCAAACATCTCCAAAATTGCTCCCGAGTATTTGCTCAAATAAAAACGTCAGGGTGGTTTGGCCGGGCAGAGATTTTGGAAAGCAGCAGGCACCACAGCAAGGCCCTCCTCTGTCATCAGAGCAATCCTCGGCTTCGTCTGCAGCCGGATTTGAACCCGGGGCTGAAAGCAGGTGCTCGCGTAAGGGCCGGACTGCTGTCGGTAGCTGGGAGCCGGCAGAAACGTTACGGGCACGTTGGTGTCTTTAAAAACGTGGCCCTGGACCGCCACACAGTATTGAGCCAAGACTCGGAGAGAATAAGTGACTTGCCTAAGGTGTCACTTGTGGAAATGCAGGCCAGAGAGCATAGGCAGCAATGGGAGTCGGAGACACAGCTTGGGACAGACCCAAATCTCCCCTCCCCGAGAGAGGTTCCCAGATAAGAAAAGGACAGGGTGAAATGGGAAGCAGAGACCAGGCCGTCTCAGTGCAGCGTGCCAGGAGCTCCTGATGCCCCCGCAGAGATTTGTTCCTTTTTCCTCCCCGTGTGCATCTGCTGTATTCTTAAATATTGCCGGCTATTTTGCTAAACGGATCTTAATAGGAGCGGCATAAATGTTGTCAGAGATACAGGAGGGAGAGTGATGGTGGCTCTCCGAATAACGAAGTGCAGAGGTAAGAAAAGGAGTTGCTCATCCGCTCTCAGACGCTGGGTTCCCGGAGATCTCCGGGGCGAAGGTAGAGTGGATCCCGTGGGGGACAATTCTTCTAATCCACCTGTGGGATCTGCTCCTGGGGGGAGCTGCGCCGAGGGACGTAGCGGGCTCTGAAAGGGGGGGTGGGGATAAGCGGCACATCACCATCTGCTGATTTGAGCGGGTTTGGAGAGGGTGGAAAGATGATGGGACGGCCTGTCCCGTGATTTGGGAGGTAGCCTGAGTGCCTGCGTGCACGCTGGGGGTCGAGGAGGATGCTCCCCTCCTCCTGGCGTGGGGTCTTGGACAGTCATTGGGAGTCTGCCCAAAGCAATTCCGGTTCAGGACGCCGGGTACCTGGAGCCCTTGCTAAGCCCAAGATCAGTCCCCCTCTGCCACGTGTCCAAGCTCGTACCGTCAGAGCCAGAGCTGCTCTGGTCGCCGTGACGTGGGAACATCTCGAGGCAGCAAAGTCACTCGTACAATCCCTGTTTCACAAATGGCTTCGTTATTCCCCCTCCCCTCGGCCTGAGTCCTCGCAGGACCCACTTCGGTAGCCCCCCGGTAGTTTCCACTAGCCGTGGGCCCCCCGTGCCACTCTTCATGTTCCTGAAGAAGGGCGACCCGACACGGTGGAAAAGCCCGGGCGCGCGCGTGGAGCCGATGCAGCGTGCTGCCTGGGAACGTGGCACGGTGGGAGCCTCGAGAGCCCTCGCTATCTTTTCCCCGTCCTCTAGCAGATCGCTTGTTTGATCTGGAAGGTTTTGCTGTCAGGGCCAATTACCAGCGGCTGCTTAACGCGGGCCTGTTTTCCTCCTCCGCCCCCTCCCTCGCGGCTCTTTTTTTCTTGCTTCGGCTGGGCTGACGTGAAGGTAACAAGTGCAATGTGGCTGTGGCGCTTTGAGGAAGAAGGCTCCTTGCCTTTCAACTGCGAGTGCCAGCTAAATTCAAAGGCGGGCTTTCATCTCTTTCATCAAGCCCTGCACTGACCCCTCCAACACCTCCATGAAGGATTTGCCGGCTGGCTCGGGTCCCTGCCGCCGTTCCCCTTGCTCGGTTTTGTTCCTATCACGGCGCGTTTCAATCCACGGCGGCACCTGCCGAGTCGCCATCGACTGAGAAATGTGCAACCAGGGGAACTCCCTGCCGCAGGAGGCACCTAGCTCCACCGCAGCCATGAAAGGCAAACGCAAGGGGCTTTCGGGGCGCAGGCTGGCAGCTGGGATCAGGAGGAAATTACCTCTGTCTTGTTTTGGATGTCTTGGGTTTGAATCCCCTCCTTTGCCGGCAGAAACCTTCCTTCTAAGACTCAGACCTCCAGCCTCATGTCATGGCCCGAAAGCAATGCAAACTGGACTGGTCCCAGCCCCTTGGCATCCGTGCTGGCCTAAACTGGGAGGGGAAGGAGATGTGATGCATGTAGCTCTCAGGTCAGGTGCTGTTCAAGCCCAGGTAATGTCCAGGGGCTTGGACATTAGCCCTTCTCTGGTGGCCCCCCAGACCTGACCTCCCCTGCACTGACCACTGGGACACCAGCCCTGTGGCAGCACCGCACTGGCCCCTGACCCATCTCCCGGGCTGCTCTTCTACCTGGGGAGCGGTCCGCCCGGACGACTCCTCCGCACCGGCTTCCCTGGTCTCCTTGAAGCACGTGGCCCCCTCCCGTGGCTGCTGCAACATGAAAGCCTGGGCGCCTTTATGAAGCACCTGTTCAGCAAACCCGACTCGGGCTGTGTAACTAATAGGGAGCCACGTGACACCTTTCCAAGCAATCACACTTGGCATCACCATCTGGGGGGGATAATTAATCCTGAGATTCACCTTGAGAGGAGACAGGAGATGTAATTCAGCCTAGTCCTTCCACCACAGTCCCCATTGCACCATGTCTGCCGGCCTTAAAGAGACAGCACCTCCTTATAAGCTTTGGGGGATATTTCCATGGGAGGGGAGAGGGGCTTTAACGGTCCTCATTGTTGGGGCCTTTAAAAATGGGGTTTTTGGAAGTCCTCAAGACTGACCATGTGGCTCTTTGGAGGGGAGCTCCCCTTGATAACAGCGGGAGCGGAGCTTGGCTGGCACCGAATGCTGCCGGGCAGAGACTGCCTACAGTTAGCTGCACATCAGTGTATTATGGACTCAGCATGGAGGAGCACCTGGGCTTGCGTGTTATGGGGATGGGAAGGGGAGTTGACATGGCAGGGATGCAATGGGTGTATAAACTCCCTTTCTTCTTCATGAAAACCTCCACGTTGTGGGCACCCCACGCCCAGACACCGCGGAGTCTCCTTATCACCAGTGAGTCTCAAAGGCAGAGTGCAGGTCAGATGAATGAAGCTCTGGACCCTGCGGTGAGACACGTTTCTCATCCCATGCTTCTCGGCTGCCTGGAGCACAGGGCTCCCTGCTGATAAGGCTGGAGGCAACGGCTTTCCCTGCACCCTTTTTCTTCTGGTGCTGGGGGGGAAATCTGGGGCGGGCCCGCTGATATCAGTGCTGTTGGGATGGGGATCAAAAGTAATACACAGCAGGCCTGACTCTCAGCGAGGCAACTGCTGCCCTTGCTGACGTACCCAGGGTGGAGGCAAGGACCGTGTGTTTTAACAGTACGACTCAGTCGGAGCCGAGCATCCGTCGGTGAGCTAACAGACGGTGAGCTGGACGCCGACGAGCATGTGCACGCTCGACGCTGGGTTGCGCTGCAGCCTGCCCAGCCTGTGGCAGCTGCCAGCTCTTGCAATTTTTATGGTGGATCTTGTGGTACTTGGCATTTTCCTTGAAGCCACGTGCTGGCATATGAACTGCCCTGTTGGCGGGGAAAAGGCCTAGACCCCAGGTGCCAAACACAACCATAACCGTGCATGTATGCTGTTTTCAAAAATCATCATTTTAAAGCCAGTCTCCTGATTTCAGGAGTCCTGAGCCCTGTCTGGGGGTGGCTGGGATGTGTACGGCTCCATTTGGAAAGTCTGGGGCTGGCAATACTGAATGCATGGACGAAGGGTGGACTTTGGATCTGGTGGAAACAACACGCTTGAGGGCAGCGGAGGAGGGATCAGGCCTCAGGGAGGCCAGCTGGAGCATATAGTTGTTTTACTGTGTACGTCAAAGGGGGAGGGAAAGCAGCTAGGAGAGCACTGTGGTATGCATTTGGAAACCCCCTTGCTGCTTCCACCTGGGAGGGGGTTTCTAGCTTGTCCCCAGGCCTTCCCATTGACTTACGTCCTCTTCCTTTCCTCTGTCTCTCCCAGGTTACCTGACCGTCAGCATCGAGCCGCTTCCACCCGTGGTGGTGGGGGATGCCGTGACTTTGAAATGTAACTTCAAGACGGACGGCAGGATGCGGGAAATCGTCTGGTACCGGGTAAGTTGCTCTCGGCTAACTCCTCCACCGCACCCTCCAGGGAGAGGGACAGGAGCAGACAAGCTGCTCTTCCCAGGCCTGATGTAAGGTTGGAGCCACACAGCGGAGGGATGTCAGAGGAAACGACAGGCAGATTTCTCAGTGATGGAAATATCGATTCTGCAGCCGGAGCTGCTGCGTCCGATCCACTGCCCTTGTAGTGACAGAGAGACCTGCGGGAAGAAAAGAAATAATGAGTGGGAGGGAAGGCGTTTTCGAGACGGTCCCTCGGGATGCTCTGACACCCGCTCCAGTAGTTTTGTGAGGCTCTCTTGATGGATTGGGACACTTGGCAGCTTGGGAATGGGGCAAAGAGAGGGAGGGAATTGGGAGCCCCGGTGCAGGGAGACGGCTTCCATGCAAACCACGAATCTGCTCTGTCTGTTCGCAGGGCACAGGGGGTTTGCATCTGGGGTTTTGTAGCTCAGCATAGCTGCCACGCTGGGATCTGGCGTGGGCCCTTCCCAGCCGTTGGATCTGGGAGTTCCCAGCTGGTTCTGCTCCGTCCCAAGTCCGCTGTGAGAGTCACGAACCAGCTGCTTTCTCAGTTCCCTGGTGTGGAAAAATGCCCTGCTTGCTAGTGAGTCAGGAGGTCTGGCTTCAAAGTCAACTTTAGGCCAAGTGCTGGGCAGCTGGCAGCTCACAAGGACAAGCCTGGGGCAAGGGAGAGGGGTCTGCACTTTGCCTCCTGGGTCCAGGGCCAGACACAGGCATGGGCGAACCAGGTGGCCACCCAGGGCCCAGACAGAAAGGAGACCTGAAAATGGTAATTTTTGCATTATTAACATCATTAACTAGGAAACTATGAAACTATGAAATTATGAAATTGTCTCTGGCAACGGGGTGGTCTGGATCACTTAGGTGGGCCAAAGTACAGCGTAGAGAGAGCATGCTGTGAGCCCGGGGGTGGGGACAGCTTTCCACCTAGCTACCCCGCCGCATCAGCAGGTCCCGGTGCACCGCTGGGGACAGGGCCAGCCGGGTCAGAGTCCTCTGCATCCTGGGACTGAAACTGAGCTGGTGGCTGTAGCTCCCTGGCAGGCGAGCACCTGGCCGGAGCTGTTCCCTCCTGTTCTTGACAGCTCCATCCATCTCGCTGCGCGGGCGTTAGAATGGAAATCAGGCTCGGCGTCTAGCCATCCTTCCCCGGAAGCGGATGGAAAACGCTTCACGGGGGTGGGCGGTTGCGGTGCGTGCTCGGGGAACCGGGTGTCGCAGCCCAGGCTGTACGGTGAAGCTTCGTCAAGCAGCGCTTGCCTAATTAGCCAGCAAATCTGGTGCTCACCAAAGGGAGGGGGTCATCATGCTGGGTCAAATGGAGCAGCTCCGGCTGCTTTCTTGCCGGCTGTGTCGATGCCCCGCAGTCCTGGCACGCAGCCCATGCTGCTATTCCAGTCCCGAGTCTCTCACCCAGAGCCACTGGTGACCCCCAGGCCTGGCTTGCTGCCACCCTGCTGCTCCAGCCTGTGCTGAGCCACCTGCATACTTCATCGCAGCACCCCTGGTCATAGGGGCTTCTCAGTGCAGCCCTGTCGTGGCCTGGGGCCCTCCCCACTATGAGGAAAACTATGCATCTGCAAGCTGTCTTACAGTGGTGTGTGGCCGTGGGCCGGTGGGCTGGTATTCTGGAGTAGAGGTCTGTCCTGATGCTGCCTGTCTGACCTGCTGTATGGGGGTATACGGCTGGTGTACTAACCCACCTAGCACCCCAAACGCAAACCCACCATGCAGGGAATGCATCGGGTTAGCTTCATCCCTGGGGTGCTTCAGTAGGGCTCCACCAAGCTTGATTTTGGCCCACAGACTTTTCACCCCCAAAAGATTAACTCTAATGTGAGTCCCTCCCAGCCCCAGCTGCCGTCTCCAAAGCACCCAGGGTTGCTGCCTTTGGCTTTGGGAGAAATCGGTCCAAAAATTGCAGAGGACGTAAGGTTAGGGTTGCTGGCTCAGGTTCGCATTCAAGGCTGGGAGGGTGCAGAGAATTTGCATTGGAGGCAGTGGATTGCATTTGCTGTTTTACAACCAGGGGGACCCGTTCTCTTTTTTCCATTTGAGGCTTGTTTGCAGATTTTTCTCACCCCTAGGGAGTGCAGCCAGCATGCACGAGAGACGGTGAGAAATCCACCGTGGCAGGGATGGAGGGATGTGCATGTGTTCATGATCCATGCACGCGTGACACCGCTCTACGTGTGCATGTAGGTCTGTGCATAAGATGTGTATGTGGGTGTCACTCGTCCATGCGCAAGTGTGTACGAGACCTGCATGCACACACACAAGCACGAGGTCTGTGAGTGTGAGAGATGCATGTGTGGTCATGTGGGTATATGCGGGCATGTTTGCCTATCTCTTTGTTGTGTCAGTGCCGGTGTGAGAACAGCGTGTGTGGATGCGTGGGACGCCCGAGCGTGTGGGTCTGATCCGTATGATCACGTCCGTGTGTGACGTATGTGATTCTTTATGCTTGCATACCTGGTGTGAGCTACATGTGTGCCTGTGGAAGTCAAAGAGCAAGATCAGTGTCTCAGAAAGAAGCCCCTCTCTTATTAACAAATTGTCTGTGATCTCATTCAGCTCCAGCTGACCTGGCCAGCAGAGAAAGCCAAAGGGTCTGCGTATATCACAGAAACCTATTAAAACTTTGTGGAGGATCATGGGAATTTAGCTTTGCCTAATCACGGCATTGTCTTTGTGTCTCTCAAATTGTCCTGAAGGCTTTGGTGGCTGCTGCCCTGAGGTCACCGTAGGCAGCATGCGTCTGGAAGGCAGAGAGATCTCGATACCGTGATGCATCCTTTGGTCCGTAGCATCCCCCATTGCAGCTTTCAGGTCCCAGGTGTGTGTGCGCACCTCATTAAAGCCACCAGTGTGGATTTACCTTTTTTTTTGTTTTTGTTCTGTTGGCTCGAAAGCTAATATATACTTCATACAGCAAAAGCAGACATATAGGAAATAATGGGAGGGTGGAGGGGGCTGGGGGTGCTGTCCAGGGGAAATGGGTCCAGGGACTCGGGAAATACAGTGGGAAAGAATTACTCGCAAGCCAGCAGCTGGAGGGGAGAACTAGGGCTGGAGACCAGGCACAGCTCCAGTGAAAGAAGCCACGAGCAGGTGGCAATTCTCATTTTTCCCCGCGCCCGGCACATGCGAGGGACTTGGAGACGTGGGTCCGACAGCCCTGCCAAGCTCCCCATAATAGAGAGAGGTCTCCTGCTCTGCAGTTTTCCGCCACCCCTGGCACTGACACCGCTCTGCCAGGAGCACCGCGTCCTCCATCGAGCGATGCATCAACGACCTACCCCAATTTGACCTGATTACTGCAGAGTTGCATTCAGAGACATGCCCAAGATCAGGGGCCTGTTGTGCAAGATGCTGTACTTCTTCGGTGTCCTAAGGCCAGAAGCTGATATAAAGGGTCTCAACCAGTAATGAACCCTTAACACAACTGAGGCTCATCGAAAAGACCTAGATGGATGCATTTGCCCCATGTTCAGACCCCTGATGCTGTGCTGAAGATGCGTGTAGCCACAGTGACTTTCCCCCTTGCGGCCCCTGCGTCGTACAAGACCATCTCCATCTCCGAAACTCGCGTCCTTTATTTTGTTACCGCAAAACGCTTCCCTTCGGCACCAGCCCCTGCTCCTCCTGGCTCCGCGCTGCCTAACGCCATGTAATCCTCTGTCCTCAGGATGCGGGAGGAGGCTGAAATGAATGAGTGACCAAGATTTGACTGTGTCGCAGGAAGCTCCAAAATGCCGGAGCTGCGGCTTACTTTGCTTAGGCACGAGGACACCAAGATTATTGTCTTCAAATTCCTGTCAGCGCCAGCCCATCTCAGGTAGCTAAATTTAGCCCGGCAAGTGTGATTTCCAGCCGTCACCGTCTGACTTAAGCTCCTCTGTGTTTAAGTGACGAGAGCACGGTTTTTTACTCATCGGGGAAAGATTAGAGGGGAACGTGCGCTCTGCCGAAGGAAAGGGAGAAGGAAGACGCAAGGAAAAGCTCGCTTTGAAGCAAAATTGTAGTTCGGGGATTTTGCTCCTCGCCTGTTGTAATGTGCCCAGCCCTCTGCCTCGTGTCCAGGCCTGTTAGGGACCGAGCTGGTCATCAGCAGTGTGAATGGGAGCCTTTCCAGGGACCTCGAGGGGTTTTGGGTCATGTGGTTGGAGAGCACGTGCGCGTTGTGAGAAACTAGTTAGTAGCCTGAGACTTTGGTGTCAGGGATAGATGGCTCTGGAAAGCCCTGTCCTTGGTTTGTTCGCCGAACGGGGGGTAACATGCAGTCTCCCAGGCCTGCTATGCTAGTGTGCTTTGAGCCTGACACACAGGGACCATCTGGGAAGGCTTTGATGGTCCCTTCACCCCTCGGCCTCGAGCATGATGCTGCCACAACAAGGCCGGGCCGTGCACTAGGGAGATGGTGCTTAGGAGGACTCAGCGGACCTCGTCAAAATTGCAACAGAGGGCCATATTGCAATCTGCCCCATCTGTGGGGCATTAAAGGGTCTCCATAACTTTTGAGGCCATGCAGTGCCATCAAGGTGGGCAGGATGATCTTCTCTGCCTTCCTCTTGCCCCGGTGTTGACATCAGTGGCTCTTGCTCTTTGCACTTTGGTCAAGTGCATCTTCCAAGTCTCCTTCAGCATCTTGAATCACCATTTCCTGGGTCATCTTCATGATCACCTTTGTCCTAAGGCTCCTGGATCCCATCCTCTCTTGCCAGCACATCCCACGTCTTGTCATCGTGGAAGACCCAGCTACCTCAGTTGATACTCCCTTTGCTGTAATGGGGCTGTACCTGCATCCTGGCTCATCTTGTTTCATTGTCTAACCTGCTCTGCATGATAAATGACTTAATGCAGCTGCTCTTCTCCGCGAGCAACTAAAATGAGGCCACCAAACCATTACATCCAAGCTTCAAATAGCCAGCAGAGCCTAATGACTTTTTCATCGCTAGCCTCCC